TCTGATATGCTCCCATCCCACATGTGAAGCAGAACAGAGCCACGTTCTCCTGGAGGCTCTTGTAGGACCTGAGCCTTCCCTGGCCTTTCTAGAAGTCACCATCTCCCTCTCGCCCTCTGTTTCACCATCCTGTGCCCAGGAGCAAGGCCATCCTGGCAGCACCATCAGCCCCAAATGCCTTCTCTGCCAGCCAGGTTAATGAGCCCTCCATACCTCGTTCCCAGATCCAGCATGGGTTTCTGCTCCCTTCGCACTGACGACCGACCCTCACACCCAGGCCTCACTCAACACCTCGCACGAGGACAACAGAGCCCATGTGTCCCAGCAGAACTAGCCCAAGCCAGCACGTCTGTCCTGGGAGCTCAGAGAGCCCCAGATGGCAGCTTATTGGTATCCACTGTGTAATGCGATGCCAAAGGGCGGCAGAGGAGAGAAAGTGCTCCAGGAATCCATATTTGGATGCTGTTTCTTATTTGAAAGCACTCACAGAGATGAATGGTAGTGTACATATCTGTCCATGAGCGCAGGTCCTTTTCAGTCAATCTTTCCACCTACTCTACAGAAAAATAAGAAAAGTACCCCCTGTGTACCTATGGGTGCGTTCCCTCCAACTCAGTAAAATAACTTGAACTCCCAGGGTTTGCATTTTACTCAACGTGGGCAGAAGAGAGAACCAAGTACATCTGAAGTTATCCATCGTTAGCAACTTGGAATCATATCAAGTCAGAATAATCTCCACATGCTCCTAGCACATTCTCCCATCTGATGGGGACTTCCAGAGCCATAGCTCCTGGTCCAAGGAGAGGACGCTCCTGTTCTGGCATGGCACCCAAGCTGGCAGGTGTCACTTACATGCAGCAAAGAGACTCCAGTGGCGGAGGAGCCCACAGTGACCTGAAGCTTCCCTCTGGGGCCTTGTGCTTCGGCCTGGACACAAGGATCCTCCTGTGGAACTAGGTGTGTTCCCAGGCTTTACATCCTAAAGCAGGCCCTTTGCAAACAAATGCACCACGGCTCCTTATGTCACAAGAAGCCCATGCCCATGTCAGAAACTCAGTCCAGCTCACATCTCTTCTCCAAGAGATGTAATAAATCTCCCTTTCACATCAGAAGTTTTCCAGTTTCAACACTCCTTCCAGTATTTCTGTACATGCACAATGAACTTTAACCCTGGGGTCTCTCTGGACAACCACTATCAAGGTACACAGCAAAACAAAATCTCTCTCGGTTATGCCAAACAGGTAGTTAGTAACAAGTAATCTAGATTCACATAGCTGTGTCTGTATTTATAAACCTGTTTGAATTTAATGTAGCTGTCTATACTGGATAAAGGGATGTGCCCCTGAGCTAGGAACTATTGTTTCACTCAGATAGAAAGTTATGTCCAGAAACAAATGAAACGTCTGGTCTGACTAAGGAGATAATTAATATGCTACTCACAGAGCAATAAAAATCTCTGGATCATCCCGTTACTAACGAATTTATTTTCTAAATTAAAAAAGAATCTTTAAGCTGAATATTTCTGGAAAAGTTGTCTTTCTACAGCAGATGATTCCACAGAGTGTAGAGTTACAAGAACATCTGGATTTGTTGGGTTGTGGATTCAGAAGCTGACACCTTGGCAGGATGAGGAAGGTTTCAAGGGTATTGTGGGTAGCATGTGGTGGATATATGTCATGTTTCATGTCAGTAAATGCCACGATGACAACAACAATAACAAGAATCACAAGAGCCATGTCTCAGTTGTGTAACAAAACTCCAGCAGTAACCTAGTGCAAGCTCCCTTTGAAGTTTCACTGGCCCTTACCGAGGTCTTTGCAGATACAAATAATTTCAAAGCACCTATTGTTCACTCCCATCACCCTCACTGCTTTAAATGTTAAACAGAGACCTCCAATAAATTTATAGTATTTGCAATAATAGCATCTTGACTTGTAGGCAACCAACAGAATTTAAAAATGCTCACTTTAGGATTAAGCAGCTCCTATCCAAATCTCATAGCATGCGACGTCTTACACTGCACGTTTCTGTCCCCAGGGGTCCTTGCTCCTCCAACTCAGGTAGGCAATTTCATTTGCTATTATAAGAAACATACATTAACATAATAGATTTCCCTAGGTACCTGCGTGACAGGGTAAAACAATTTGAATTTCAACAGAATGTAATATTAAGTTAAAACAGAAATTTCAAGATCCCAGGAATTTAAAAATCAGTAAGCAATTTAAGAGTCTCTAGGAAAAATATCTTCCACCCTTCTTCAAAAAGTTTTTACCCAATCTTTACTGATCTGCTGCTGGCTTTTGTCTTTGTTCCATTTTAGAGGCAAAAACCTCTTAAAAATACTTAGTATTACAATAATGTATCATGTGCATATATCATGTATAAGCAATTTTACCTGAAATTAAGGTACTGCATGTTAATAATAATTTGGGTTTATACAGTGTCATTATCCTATAATTATCTAATAATCCCTTTTACCACTCAAAGGCAAATATCTTTTAATATCTAGAATTATATAATAAAAAGCTTTATTCATAGCATCTCAAATTTTTCCATTTGATTAATTTTTAAACTTTCAGAAAAGCCTCACTTGGTTTCCAGGGGTTAGACCAGTCTTTGGCTGGGATAAAGTCCTGCTTCTGAACAGGAGGAAGTGGCATTCTGAGAACTGAGCTGAGAGCGCCCTTTGGAGCAAGCCCTGGACATGGAGTCGTGCACCGAAGAACCACGGGCTGTCCTGGCACAGCTGGCATGCAGAAGCTTGGGACCCACGGGCCCTGGCTGTGGCTCAGCCACCGCTAAACCTCATCTCCAGACTCCAGCCATGCAGGGCCACTTGCGTTACCCCAAGGCAGCAGTTCTCAAAATGTGGACCAGGAATTCTGGGGTGCCCACCTCTGCTGGGGGAACCCACTCGATCAAAACCATGGTTGATCTTACGAAAGACACTGCTATTATAAAAGATACGGCTTGATCTTATATCATTTTCTGCTTAAAGTCTCATCTTTCACACATGCATGGTGAAATGTATTAGGCACTGCCCACCCCAGGACATCACAGCGGACGACTCCAGCTCCCCCGCTAAGCCGGACGCTGAGGAGATGTGTACAAACATGCACCCTTGCCAGTATCTTCACTGAATATTTTTCTGTCTTGGAAAATATAACTACTTTTCATACGGAAAAACTGCTGCTCAGGTTAACCTGTAGTAGGTTTATTACATCTTAGTGAGATAATAAGTAAACCTTGTTTATAATTTCTCCACCGCTAACTTCCAGTGTGGGAGCCACTGACAGATAGAACCAACATCAGCAAATTTCTCCGGGTTCTGCAGGAGTTTTGAAGATCCAAAGAAGTTGTGAGAGCAAAAGATCTGAGAGCCAGTAGCGCAGAGGGGCTCTGAGAAGTCTCTGGACTGTGAATCTCCATGGTGTGAAGTTACAAAGGTCAAAGGACGCGAGCACCAGCAGACAGGCGGGTGTGAGTGTTGGAAGTGGAAAAGTCACAGGCCCTTGGCACTCCACCTTCAGTGCTCCCCTATAACCCGAGCAAGCCCTTCCCACGTCGGGCGGCTATGGTTTCCTCCGCTCCACCCCCTACTCTGATCAGGACATCCTCTGTCTAGTGACACAGTGATTCCTATCCCCAAGAGCTCACCACACTGACTCTGGAGGAGCACGAGGACTGCACAAAGGAGTGCTCTTGAGAGTCCAAAGTGTTTTCAGTCCCTAGGGAATTTTTTTTTTTGAGACAAAGTCTCACTGTGTCGTCCATGCTGACCTTAAACTCAGCATGCAGCCCAGACTAGGCTTGGACTCACCCTAATGCTCCTTCCTCGGCCTCTCAAGTGCTGGGATTATAGGTGTGCACCATCATCCATGGGTCTTAGGCAATTTTTACAAGTGCATTTGTGATTTGTGTGCCTTGAAACTTGATTAGTGGATGCCAGCAGGAATCTCATCCAATGGGAGGCAAGAGTCCTTTTCTACAAAAGAGAACATCATTCTGGAGTGGATGAGAAGCAAGAAGAGCCGGAATCAGGGCTGGGGATTTAGCCCAGCGGCAAAGCACCTGCCTGGCAAGCGCAAGGTCGTGAGTTCAGTTCCCGGTACCGGAGAAAAACCAAAAAAAAAAAAAAAAAGAAGAGCAGGAATCTAGCCTTGCCAGGCCACGCCATGGCTTTCTGTGTCCACAAGGAGCACGCATGATCCCGTGCATCCTCCACCACACCTGCTCAAGCTAGGGCAAAACCGGGGCTGTTTTCCACACGATACCCACCTCCAGCTCCCCCACACCGCTCTCTGGATTCTCAGCCTTAAAATCTAGCATGATCTCTTTGCGAGGTTGAGGCAGAAAGGTCACAAGCTCGAGGCCAGCTTATGGACAGGGGTGAAGCTCAGTGGCTGGGTTCAGTCACCACCACTACTGGAAAATTAAAAACACAAGTTCATCCCTGCAACTTAAGGCCTCAATAGAGCCTGGAGAGACAGGATGCAGGCGCACCCCGCACGACTATCATTTTTATTTGCTAGAGACTCACTAGGGGAACTTGACACAAGCCGGCTCAGCACCGCCCTAGGCCCGGTACCATGCTGGGCGCTGCCCAGGGTAAAGCAGGTTTCCAAAGCTCCTTCCAGAGTCGAGCACTTCACAGTTTTCAAAGCACTTATCTCATTTCATCCTCACAACAACTTGGACGGTTCTCACCAACCCTAATGAAGAAAGCAGAGAACTATATTTGCACTGTAATTACCATGTTGCCCAAAACGGGAGTCCTCGTTGGGGAGGGAAACTGCTCTTATCACCACATTTAGCGAGCTCTGTTTTCTTCGAGGAGCCAGGCCCCGGCGCTTGCTGTGAATTGCTAAAATCCACTCTCCGGAGAGGCACAGACATAAATAGTAAGCTGAGTTTGATGGAAAGCGTGAGCTGCACCTGCTGCACACCCAAGGCTGCAGACGGACAGGGAGGGGATAGCTGGGCTGCTGCAGTCCTCTTACCATTTTCTCCCGATGTCTTGTCTTTTCCATTGGTTGCTCCAGTTCCTTGTCGCTAAAAAACATAAAAAAAGAAGGAATCATCAGGCACAGTTAGGATTGCTACGGTCTCTTATCTCTTGCATTAAATCTAGCATTGTATTACTTTAGCTCAGAGAGTTAAAGCGCATGTCACCGGGATAGATCAGCCCAGGAAAACATCGCTATGTCTCGTGGACGACCTCCCCGGCCTCCCCGCTCCATGGCCACCACTGGCTGGACACAGCTCACTGTCACAAGGAAGCCAGGCAGGAGACTGCTGCTGATTGAGCGTAACCTCATGGAAAAGATGAAGGAAATGGCCAAGAGTTTGCGCCAAGCACCAAGAGATCAGACTGTCACCTCTGTCAACGATGGCTGTCACACTGCTATATTCTCATACCAGTCCCTGTGCCCAGTAAACTGTAATCAGCTAAACAGCTCTCGTGCTCATATCAGAGTGTCTCAATTGCAGAGCTAGCTTTTCTGTCATTCCACTCATTCATCACAGGGAGTTGGCACGTGTACCTAACACATCTTAGTTCTTTTAACATCCTCTTCCCCTCCTTTCTCTCTTTCTTCCCTCCATCTCTTATTCTCCTTCCCTTTTGCAAAAAATCTATCTCCCTATTTCCCATTATCTGGTCTTTTCCAATTGCTGTCATTGCTGATGCCTACCCCTTGCATTTTTCTTTTGCCAGGTTGACCAGAAGTAGGAGAAATTTTATGGTTAGATTTGTATCTCTGAGTAAGACTCTGTGGGTGTCAGGTTTCTACATGGCATGGTTTCTCTTACATGAACAACCCAACGTATAAGTAAACTAAAGAGCAAAATAAAAGACAGACAATAGGAAGCAAGAAGATAGATCTTTTGGAAAAGAGAAGAGAAACAAGGGAGGGAGGGAGGCGGGAGAGAAGAGAGGGGAGGGGGACATGGAAAGAATTAGGTGCTAGCTACATGTACCAACTCCCCACAGGAAGGCAGTCATCGTGTGTGGCAAACAGGGACTGACAAAAATTAAAAGAAGAAAAGACTCTGTGGACATGAGGTGATACAGTCTGAGTTGAAAAGAATCGAAGAGAATGCAGTTTCTGAGTTTCAGCAGGAGGAAAGGGAGTGGGAGTCCAAGGGCATGACTCTATCAAGAGAGGCCAGGACCAAAACCTGGGCTTCCCAAGCATCTCTGAGGAGGCATCTTTCGGACATCACCACCAGAAGGTGTCCTGGAAGGAGCAAGGGCAAGGAACACAGGGCAAATCTACAAAGGCGTACTGGTGCCCTCGAAAGCTTCACCCGGATCCAGGATTGCAGGCCACAAATAGTCACAGTAAAACAATAACCAGCTCCCTTTGCGGCCCAACACCATCATGGCAGGTTCCCCAAACCTCAGCACCCACTGTGCGCTGAGCACGGATCGTGTGAAAATCCTGCTGTAGGTTCTGACCGGGGAGGCTTAGCTTAGTAAAGGGACCGCGCTGTGGACACCAGCCTCCCTGTGCACATGGCAAGCTGAGGGAGGCAAAGCAAAGCACCCCACATGTCACTGCACCTCACCCTGCACCCCAGTACCCAGGCGGGTGAGCCACTGCCCAGCTCAGGGTGCTCTGCCCGCTCTGCAGCCAGGGCCCCCTCAGAGCTGGAAGGTGGAGGAACGTGGGTCTTGTCTCTGTATATAACTCAAGGCACCACGGAGCTAGAAACCCCTTGCCTGTGCTTGCAAGGAGACGGGAGGTCACGGCCCTCAGCAGACAGCAACTGGTTTTTGGTTTTGGTTTTTGTTCTTCAGTACTGGGGATGGAACCCAGGGCCTTCCACATACTAAGCAAGGGTTCTTCCACTGAGCTATGCCCGCCCCAGGCCTTTGTATTTTTTATTTTGAGACAAAGTCTCACTAAATTGCACAGGGTGACCTTGAACATAGGATCCTTCTGCCTCAGCCTCTCAAGTAGCTGGGATTCCAGGCATGGGCACCATGTCCAGTATCAACTCTTCTTGAAAAAACTGCCATGAGGATCCCCAGCCTTGACACCCTCCGTTCCCTAGAGAAGCCTGTGGCGTACAACATCTGGACTTCCACCAGGTGGCCTGTTTCTTACGCATAGTAGATTTGCAAGTAAAGGAACCCTTCCAGGAAGGGGGCTTTCTACAAAATAACAGACAAAGATCTGTCCTTGTCTCGATGCCTCCTCTGCTCCAACACAAAGCCACGAAGTTCCCGGCACTGGATGAAAACCTGATTCCACTGAGACTCAGGCTGGTCAGTGGCAGCCCCACAGCCCGAGGTGGCAACTACTCCAGTTTCTAAACCTTCCCTGCATAATTCATAGGCTGCGTGGGGTGGGGAAGGAGCATTCTGCAAAGTAGGACAGTGCTTTACTGTAAAATAAAGTCAAATTACTGTAAATGGAATACGAGAGATACACGCACAACGTCGGAGCAGGCAAGCCCCGCGGTCCTTAAACGCCTTAAGCATGAAGACATTTCAGACGTCATGAACAGCCTCTTGTTCCATCAAAGACTGTGTTCTGGAAGCCAGAGGGAGACCGGAAGGAAGGGTGCACAGTGAGAGGGAAGTCCAGCGCACAGTGTCTCCTAGGTCGCATGTGATGGAGGCAAAATGCAGGCGACAGATGTCGGGGGAGTTGGGGTTGCAGATCAGGGAACGATCCTGATGAAAAGGGATGAGTCCTTGAAAGCATCTTTTTCCAGAATTCTTGTTGATCTTGAGATGTTTTCAAGGCTAAGGGGAGCTAGTAGGGAGGGGAGGAGGTGGCCAGCAGAGTCTGCTCTCACACTGGGTCATGCGGTGACCACATCCGCATGGGGCACTGGGTCTCCCTGGAGCGGGAAGTGGAGGGTGTGCACCAGGCTGGGTGTCTGGGGACCACAGCACACACTGTGGAAGCCAGGCCCCAGGGCCCCCATACATCACCCCAGCTATGAGGTAGGTGTTTGTGCCGGCAGTAGCAGTCTCCTTTTGCCAAGTGCCACCTAAGGCTCACAGAAGACTTTGTTCAGGGGCACACGGCTGGGAAGTGGCAGAGCCAAGATGCAAAATCTGAGTCAAGGTTCCCAGCTCTCCCTCTTTGCTGCAGGGTGGAAGCACCTCTGGGCGCTGCATTCTGCTTCCCTCCTCCACCGGTAAGTAAGTGGAGGCTGAGGAGGCAGGGAGCCTCGGGTCTGAGGTCTGTGTGACTTCATGAGCAGCCATGAGCTGAGAGTTTGCTGGGCATTTGGCTTACACGAAGAAACAGTGAGACCCACAGTGAAGGGATTGACTGCAGAAACAGTGTGAGATCGTTTTACAAATCTAAGTAGCACAAACACCAGCACTGGCTCTGCTGAAATACATGAGCATATGGGTGGACGAGTGGATGGATGGATGGATGGATGGATGGATGGATGGATGGATGGATGGAGAAGCTGAAGGGAAGATGAATGGATGGATGATAAGTAGATGGATGTGTGGATGGATGGATGGATGGATGGACGGACGGATGTATATTTACCTAGAGAGAACTTTTTTCTACTCTCTGCATACTCTAATATATTAAATTATACAGCTATCTGGATGGAACAACATAGTGGCACATTCATGATACTACAGAATCATTTCTGAGAATTCCAGAATCTCACATCATGAAATAAGGACAAGGTTCCAACACAGAATTTTGAAATTGAAGCTTGAAAGTCCTCTTTTGCCCTTTTCCACACCGGCAGCAAGTGTGGATGCCGTAGAATCTACTGAAGGACAATGGAAAGACAGAGGGACCCTGGCGGGTCCTCAGCCAGGTGAGAACTCTCCTAGATTCTCAATACTTAGACGCTTACCGACAGACTCCCAAGGCTCGGAAAGTGAAGTTTCCTTTCTCATCAACACTCCCTAATAAAAATATAGCACTTTAGAATTCAATAACTCCTCAATTAAAAAGAACCTGAATAACAACTGGGCATGTAAAAGAGCCTTGTGCCTTCAATGTCCCTTCTGCTAATCCACCATGTGCCAAGTACCCATTAAAATGCAAGCAGGGTATTTAAAGGTAGGGTTTTTGAAGTAAATTTTCCTGACAGCCTCACTGTGCCAAGATCTGCAGAAAAATATGTCTCTGCCTGTATTTCCCAGAAAGCAGAGCCTGAGGCTAAGGTTGCTTATCCTATGAGCTTATGAGAAGCAATGCTGGAAAGGTGGGGAGAAGCTGAGAGGCAGGAAGGGGCGTCATCGAGTTGGCCTTGTTAGGTCCCACTAATACTGGTCCTGGGGGTCGCGCCCACCAGCTGCATAGAAAGCTGAGGACAGAGCCTGGATGGCGGCGGGGGGTGAAGAAGCATCCTCCGCTCCTGTCTCATTGATCCGAGACGCTGACAGAGCATTGATTGCCTGTGCGTCAGGACTTTGCTGAGTCCCCCACTTGGCTCTGCAGGGGTCGATAAGGAAGCCTCGGGCAGGAGGTGAAGGTAGAGGTGGAGGTGTTTGGTGTGGGCAGATGACAGGCTGTCCCTATGCTCCTGCTTGAAGTCTTGGAATCCACGCCAAGCTGGCTACCCACGCACGTCCTCCCAGACAGGGTCCGCGGTGACAGCCAGGAGGTGTCTGACCCAGCATGCGAACTTGGCTGGGTGGCTTCTTTTCCAACCAAGCTGCCAAGTCATGGACAACCTTCTTGGATCTAGTGCTCCCCGAGTGGAATAAACCGCACGGGTTTCCAAGTAAACGGCTGGCTTCTGGCCCATTTCTCCATGTACTTTGAGTTTCAAATGGATAGTAGGATGCGTCTGCCCACTTCTAAGCTACCCAAGAGGGCACACACCTCATTAACACCATGGCCCAACAGTGCAAGCTCCAATAGGAAATATGCTCGCTTCTCCAACACAACTAACGTCCTCACAAACAATCTCAGGCTGTGCTTCCTGAAAATCCTGCTTGAGCTTCCTATAAACTTAAGGGACTTGGTGACTTCTCTGTCCCCTGTTCTTCACTGTGAAACCCACTACAAAACCACTGCCTTCTTGGAATAGCTACAGATGGTCAGGGTGAG